GGGCCCAGTCCTTTGATTTTGTACATTTGTCCATTATCCCTGAACCCTTTCTACATATATTTCACATTCTAACTGAATCCATCTCCTCTTTGAGCATCACTTGTATCGACATCGCTCTCAACCACAGTCCAGCCTGGCACCACTCATCCTGCCCTTAAACACGGTACAGTATGTAGAGCTTGCCTCATTGTCTGCCCAAGTCTAATTTTATTTCTTCATAAGATAAAGTGAAAATCAAGCCAAATATCTCTCATTTGTCCTTCTTTGAAATGCTCTGCTAGTCCTACTTCATTTAACCCAGAGGTAGTTCTTAATCAGAAACCTGATCAACATATTTTTATTTGTTCATCAACTACTAGCTACATTGCAATGAGCAACCTTGTTCCTGTCCTCATATATACCTGTGTGGTGTTGTGGTTTTTTTTTTGCAGATATACACAAAGCAGTTTCTGGATCTTAAGACATGAAAGAACAAGCTGCCTAATTCTTACCTAAGAAGCAAATCAGAAGCCAACTTATCCATAGCACAAATCAAGTGGAGTTCTACGAGGGATCTAAATTCTCTTCCCTACTCAGTGAAACCTGATGAAGATCACAGCTTCTCTAGGGGATCTGAGTCAGGTCCTTCAACCATCATCCAAGATGCAAAGGACTGCATCGTCTTTGATCTTCTGCTTTTTGAACCCCCACGAAACCTGATGGCCCATCTCAGTTCTTCACTGGTACGGGCTGCCTGCGCCTGGGCCATGCTCAGCTAGCAGAGTCAGCAGACACACAGTCCCAGTGTTCGTGCCTTTCCCCTGTGAGGGACTCACTCTTCTAACAGGAGACGTGATCGAACAGATCAGCACTGGGGGAAAGAGTAGAAAGGGTCAAAAGCTGGCTGTCAGGAACAATGGGGGTGAGGGGAGTGTGGAGTCGGTTCATGGGTACTGAGTCTCAGTACCTCTCCCACTGACAGGGCCGTAATTGTCCACAACCAGAAGGATTCTGCCTCAAACTTTTGCTTTCAAACTTCCTATGAATACTTCCTAACCAAACCCTGGTCAGACTCAAGATGTCAAAGAATGTGTAATGGCATGGACATGGGTCTGGGCCTGGAGGTCTGATGAGTGAACTGATACTTTCAGAAGATGACAACAATGATTTGTGTGTGTGTGAGTGTGTGTCAAATGACTAGTCAAGGAAACAACAAAAAAAGATTGACTCATTCTATCAGGAAAAAATTAATGAGGACTGTTTCAAAATTATTTTTGTTCTGGAATGTATGGAAATGATATGCTCACTTTACATATTCAAGATTTTTCTTTTTTATAGAAATCTCTCAGTTTTAAAAATAATAATTTTTGTGTCTTTTATCATTTTCCTTTATCCTTTTAATTCCCCTTCTCTTGCAGTGTCAAGTAGAAAGCTAATAATTGCATGTTAGGAAACATGCATATTTTGGGGAGAAGGACCAAAGTATATTATATAATTGATGAGCCATATACAGAAATGGAATCTAAAAGTTATTCTTCTTTGCTAAATTGAAATAGAAATCCCACATAAAGATATCAGAGTAATATTTCATATGTATTTCTTTTTTCTATCAGTTCGCAGCCGCTGACTTTGTCTGGGAGATGAACTTGAACTGTTGAGATGTGAACATTCGTAAGATTCCTCCCAAGGTCATTTTTTTCCTTTAAAACATATGAAAGCTCCTAAAAATGATACTTCTGCATTACAATAGTCGAATAAGCTCAAGGTCAAAGAATAGCATTTCTTCATTTTTTTAAAACAAGAATCTAAACCTTATAAGAACTAAAATGCTGAAAAAGGATAAAATGTCTGAAAGATGAGTCTACCATAAAAAGAAGTCACAATCATTCACTTGCCAGCATGTTTATCTTCAAAATGCCTGCAGATATTGTTAAAGAGTTGAAATTTGGAGCAAAAGAAAGTGCTTGGGACTTAGAAATGTCATAATAGATTGGAAGACCTCTGACATATAGCAAGGGTTAGAAAAATTTCTGTTCTTTCCTTTTTGCTTAGTTCTGAAATCTTGGGAAAATCGATTATAAGTTCAGCTACAACAAATGCTTCTTTCTTATCTGACTTTTAAAAAAATGAGAATAAATGTTTATTCTAATTTACTTCACCACAAAGAAAATAAAGATGAGCACGAAATACCCATTAAAAGTGGATGTGATATTCTAAGGCTGTAGAAAAGACATATCAGAAATCATATTATATTCAGTAATCATCTATTTCCCAGTGTAAGTATAATAATTATATAATTTTATAGGTAAATATTTCTGTCCATTAATAACAGTTTTGATTGTTAAAAATGATATAGTTTTTTGATTACATAAGGTTATCCTGTGATTTTTAAGTTCCAGTCACCCACAGTAGATGTTGACTAAATGAAACATTTTTAATGATGCGTCTCTTTAATCCCTCAGTCCTCTACCATTGTTTCTTGCCTTCTCGACTAAAATGTATTTACTGGAATTCCTATCTCCAGGCCAGCTTGCCCAACGACCCCTAGTAACATACCTACAGCTCCTCAGAAACCCTCCCAAGGACCAGGGTGACCTTCAATTCTGTTTGACACTGCTATAAGCCTCTGAGAGGAGAGAGAAAATTCGGCTCCTTCAATGGCATTTTTGTGAATTAAAAAGCGAAGATGAAATAAAGTGAAAGCATCATAAGCAAAATTAAAAATGATCATAAATCGTTATGATTTTCAATCATTGGACAGGTTACTACAAGTACATATATCCAGGCAAGGTGCTATAGGTGACAGATCATTTTCTAGAGTCCATCTGTCTATCAGTTGTCTGTCTATCTGGGATCTATCTAGTGGTCGTTCTGAGTTATGAAGTAGTAAGTTTCTCCTTAACTATCTTTGTGATGAGTGTTAAACACAGAGCTGAAGGAGCAGAAGAATGGAACTGTGGGTTTCTACACATGACAAAGAGCACCGGCAACCCTCGCTGTCTTCATTTCCTTAAGCACGCTCTGTGGAAACACCAGTCCCTCTATAGGTCTTAAAACTCGGTCAAGGTCAGAGATCACAGAGGTCCATCCTTTCTCCCCCACTTTAATCACACCAATTCCCCTTCATGTATTCACAGTACAAATATGAAAACCCTATTTTAATAAACGTGTTTTTTCTTACATGTTTCACTTAGTTCATCTAACTAACTTGCTGCACCAAGAGTTTATAAATCAGTGTCTACATGTATGTATAAAAATATCTAATAAATCCTCCAGAATTTGGAAAGCACTGTTCTTGGTATTCAAATGTTAGAATTTAAGTAAATTTCATTGATAACATAAATCTTTTTGTCTCAAATACCACTTCTCTGTATATGTCATGTATTTCAGCCAGTAAATCAAGCAGGACAATTAAATATTAAGTCCATGGACTTGCCTGTAATAAATATAAGGCCTTATATTAATTGATCGGTTTTTTTAAATTTTTATTTATTTATCTTTAGAAGAGAAGAGAAGGAGAGAGGGAGAGAAATATCAATGTATGGTTGCTTCTGGTGCACCCTCTGCTGGGAACTGGCCCCTGCTGGGAACTGGCCTGCGACCCAGGCATGTGCCCTAAGAATCAAACCACGATCATTTGGTTCACAGGCCCATGCTTAATCCACTGAGCTACACTAGCCAGGGCTAATTGGTCAGTTTTTTATTAGTGTCTAGTATGTCCCAGGTATCGGTCTTTTATTACAGTCAGATAATAAACTACAATTATATAAGCTCCCTCCACATTCATCTGCTTAAGTATTTAATAAACAATGATACTATGATACATGTGTAGAGTATAGCTTTTTCTCTTACCATTAATTAATTTAAAATTTTGGAGAAAAACAAGATTTATATGAAATTATTACAGCACAAAAATGATGTGGCATAGCTAAATGCTAAGCAGTATTCCATAAAATCTTGAACTAAATTTTATACTAGAAGTCAAATCAATATGAGTATAAACTTCACTATTTAACGCTCCCTCTGAATCATTCTTCCTAATATAACAGTAGCTAATTATTTTGAGTTTGCACCCCTTTTTTATTTACTTGTATTGGACTCTCCCATAGCATTATTCCAATGACAACTCGCCTTGATACAATTAGAACTTTCTTTAAGGCACAGTGATCTTCATGCTAATGTAGCTTGGAATTTCAAGGTCAAACCTGATATAGCAAAGTGTTGTCATAAATATTTCTGACATTTACTCATTATGCTTTCTTTAAAAGCAAGTTAATATTTCAAAAATAAATTAATAGTAACATCATTCCTCAGCTCAATTATAAAATATGCTAATGTATCAGACATTCTTAATGCATCAGGGTTGGCTAGGGACTACTGTAGCTGAGTAAAAAAGAATTTTAGAAAGCAGTATTCCATGGTGAATAATTTCACCATATGGTCATTTGGCTTTGATTTAATTCAGCAATGGATGTTAGGAATTTTATGGTGCAACTGGAATAGATAAACTACTTCTAAAAAGATATCCTACAGAAAAAGGATATGTAAATTGTATAATAAAATATTCACTTTTTTCTAAAATTCACCATGTCTTTTCAAATTCTCCAAGGAAACATACTCTTTTGGTGTATGAGAAATGACCTAACCAAGTCCGTCTACATCCAAGACTACTGACACTGTTAATATATAGAAGTTATGTTTTAGGGGAACTTTGATCAATCAGAAATTATAAGGGAAATTTCTCACAATTAAATTTCATGCCCAGAGAGAGACAGAGAGAGGCGGGGAGGGAGGGAGGATGAAGGAGAGAGTTGTTGCTTTATGAAACTGCCCTATGCCAATAAAATAAAGTCTTCAGGTTCTCTCTGCAGGTAGGGATACGGGAAAATCCACCAATAAGCATTTTATCTATGTGTCAACAACCTTTGAGAGTCAACAATTCCATCTTTCACAAGGTAAGAGTTATGTCCACAAAGCAGTACTCACATGACCCGGCTGCCCATATTAAGTCAAGGTACTCACTCTCAGGTGTGTGAAGAGAATCTTGAACTGGCCCTGTGCACACCTGAAAAACAAAAGCCAGTCATAATTAGGGTGAAGACCAATGAAGTTTCTTCCATGAGTGGGCTTTCACGAATTTCTGGCTGAAACAGCTTCTGGATTTCATTAACTTTTTGTGTTTAGTTTGTAGTGAAATTTAACAGTGTACCTCTCTGTAGAGGATATAAGTCTTCTTTGGGAATCTGCATCTTTGTTATAAAGTAAGAATAGCAATTTCTGTGTTAGCTTCTTCAGAGTTTTATGTGAGGAGTGATGGTAATTGAAAATACTGCTACAAGTATAAAGTTTTATTTTTCCTTCTATTTTTGTATCTAACTGTACAATTTGTCACCCAATCCGTTAAGGCCTGGAGGAGATAGTATGCAGTAATAAATTGAAGCAAAGAAAATAAATAAAAGAGATACAAAGATGGAATGACCATTTAGAAAGAACATGAAATGCATTTTTAACCTGACACTTACAAATGAAAAGCAATGGCATGAATGAAAATTCACCGCAGGCCCTGCCAGCTGTGGTGGGAGAAAGCCATGGAGAGAAGCACTTTCTGTGTGTCGCAACCTGGCCCAGAATTCTGGACAAGTGTCATGGGGAGAGTGCAAACACTGGGACGTGACTGAAAAATGAAACCATCACACAGCTTGTAAAAACAGCCAGCTTCTAAAAACAGCCGGCTTCTAAAAACAGCCATCATAATTCTATATGGAATCGCAGCAATGCAATCCTCCATTATCCTTTAAACGACATTGTTCGTGGGCTGGGCCAAGCCAATCAACAAGGATCAATACTAATTTTAGGTTAAACAGTTTGTTTACTCTTCCTAGAAACTACTCCGAAACCACAAGGTACTAGCCCTCTTGGGCCCCTCTTAGTTCATTTCACATTATACCCGCCTGCTGGTGTTCATTTTCACCATGCTCGCTGTCACCCGGGTGTCCCTCCCCTAACTGTCACCAGTGTCACGCCATTCACAAGGTGACATTTCAGGAGCAGCTTTGTCACTGAAATCAGCATGGCCCTTCTCTTCACTGACCAGCACACTAGCACCTGCCATCTTGGATGCCTTCGTTGCAATGGAGAACGTCATGCTCAGGTTAAGCTCGAGTGCACTGCACGCAGAACTGAGTAAGAAGGGGAGTGAGAACTGCTTCATTGGAGAAAAAAAACTAAACACGTACTGAAGGACTCTATATGCTCGTGTTCTTCATTCTATCTCTCATTTATACAGTATCTGGGTTGCTTCATTTTTTCATACTATGTAATACTCTGTTTAATTCCACTCTTTCCTCTGCTAGTCATCCTTAAAGGCAATGAGTATTGAGGTGGTAAGAAGGGAGAGATAACAGTAATTTATTAGCACTACCTCTCAGACACAGAGGATGGTCACCATACCAGTGAGGTGCCTCTGCTATTTCCAGTGCAATGTTCTTTTGTCATGATTATTACTTTGGTCTACCAGGGGTGTCTGGCATTTTGGCATCTCTGCACCACATTGGAAGAAGAAGAGTTGTCTTGGGCCACACATTAAGTACATTGCAACATGTAATCACACACACAAAAAATTCCATAATGTTTTAGGTAAATTCACAATTTTGTGTTGGGCTGCATTTATAGCCACCCTGGGCTGCTATACCCCACGGGGCAGAGGTTGGACACCCCTGAACCATATTTCAGTTGAACCCCGACTTTCCAAATTCCAAGTTCACAGTCCTGACCAAGCTGCTTAACTCCTTAAACAAGTTTTCATAAAGTATAGTTAGCTAACAGTAGAGTTCTTGAGGATTGACGTCATATTATTTACCCATTCATTCGTTTCTATATTTCTTCCTGTTATATGCTTGTTTAACTTTATAGTCCCACGCACCTTGCCCAAAACATAGTAATAGTAAATACTTGAAAGATGGCCTAAATATCAAGCAGCATTTGTGCAAAAAAAAAAAAAAAAGAGAGAGAGAGTGATACATATTGTCCAGTGTTTTGAAAGCCATGGTTTCATGCATCTGGTCCATTTCTTTAGTTGTCTAATATAGGATGGTGGACTCAATCCTGGCTGGCAGAGGAACACAATTATTACCTTATTTGAAAAATCAGAGTAAATAGGAAAGGCCTAGCAGTGACAATGGAGAGAGGGTAGATTATCTCCCAACACCCTACGGCGGAGATACATAGCATGTGAAAGAAGGGAGTTTCACTTGGAAGAGCATGAGTTCTAAACTAGGGTGCACCCATGCAAGGAATTCCCAGAGATTCAAGCTGTGTTTAGAATGCCAGGGGACAGAGTGAAGGAGAGCAGAGGTTGGGCATATGAGATTGAATTAGATTAACCACTAAAAATGCTCATAAGTTCCAGGTGATAATGGACAACCCCTCTTCTTTTATTTTAGGTTGCCACCGAAATAAAAAGAGCACGAGCCAAGCCAGGATTTGTCTTTATTGTCTCTTAAAGAAGGGCATCATCTCATATATATATGTAAAGAAGCGTGTCAGAGAATGTTAACTATTTATAAAATATCCATTCTCTTCTCTCTCAAACTGATAGGAAAGGATAGGCAGGCTATATTTTCTAGCCCCCTTTGGGGTCATGTGTGACCATGTAGTCACATTCTGACCAATATAACAGAATTAGATACACATAAAAATCAGGATACATTTAGCAGGAAATGCTAAATGATGAATGAACTTGGTTGTTGTACAACGATGTCCAGTCTGCCACAACACGAGAGCTAAGGCACTGTTTGGTCTCATGGCTGAGTCCAGGTGAAGTGGTCAAACATGAGATCAGGTTTCCTCAGAATCTCAGGCATAAGGAGCTGTAGATCCTGATGGGTTTATGCTCTTGAGGTGTATTAAAATAGAATCAGGTTAAAAATCATTCTTACAGATTTTATTCATGAACAGAAGCAAAAACTGCAAGAAAATAAGATCCAGCAATTCATTAAAAGGATATACAAGCTATAAGGAACGAGTGGAAATTATTTAGGAATATAAAGATATTATATTGAAAAATTACTATGTAAACAAATAGAGCTGATCATGAGAAATAAAAAAGCATGTTATAAACTCTATAGAGTTAGTAGACAACTTAGGAATGACATATGCCAACACCTTAACTCCATGATGGAAAGAGATGTCTTGGTAGTGTAACTTACTTACTCAATAACACCTGGAAATATGCAAGGGGTGAGGATCAGCTATAACACTTGAAATTCAGAACAATAGTCACCTTATTCTGTGTGAAGCTCCTTTTACTAAGAAAGTTGCTACATTCTTTTCATCATACCACACCTGCCTCAGGCGCCCATCCCTCCCTGAAAGAGTGTGTTTTCATTGTCCTTGTACACTTTTTACATAGCACTTAAATCATAGGAAGCTAAAAAGGTCTTTTATATTTTATTATGTTAATGTATTAATGAATTGGTGCATCTGTAACTATTTTTGACAGTGCTTCCATGTAAACAGAAAAAAACAAATGGAAGACAAATGTTTAAAATATAGAATTTCTGAAATATGTTTTGACTGTATATAAATCATTTGGTAAAATCATTTTTTGACTCATGTAAAATGCATCATGGAAGAAAATATTTGGAGTCATCAAAAAGGACACAATTCACATGGAGAAGAAGAAAGAGAAACTAACTACATATAATAAAGATATAATCTATAATAATACATTTTACATGTCAGATTCAAGAGATAAATAACCAATTATCATTATAAAGCATAAAATAAAAATTAAAAAAAATAATCCTTTTGAAAATTCATCAAGTTATTATAAGGCTCTCCTTAAACTGAAATATTTATATATACTTTTGAATATAGTATTAGAGAAAATGTTATAGGACTTTGCATTTAATTAGTCTCTGGGGGATAGTGTGGGCTTCAAAATAATCAGCGAAGATGTAAAGTCTCAAAAAATGAAAGTGATTTGTGCCCTCGTGTAAATATACTGAAAATTACACTAATTGGAATTGTTTAAAAACTCCTAAAACACTTTCCCAGTGGAGCACTTATAAATGAATTATATGAAATATAAATGCAATATTAAAATTTTGACCTTGTTTTTTGGCTACAGAATACTTTCAAAAGTTATTTTCAGTTTAAAAATATTTTTTCCATGAGTTCATATTTTAGACTTTTCAAAGACTCCATAAAACTGCCATATTTTGAGTATATTGAGAATTACGTGGACAGAGATCAACTTTATTTTTTACGTTTCATTTGGCATTATGAGTTTCTAGCTTCTAGGTGAGAGAAGCAATGACCATGAACGAAGTTAGGTATGGTCAGAATAAACTGAATTTAAAAATAGACAAAGAAAGAAGGAAGGAAGGAAGGGAAGGAGGGAGAGAAGGAAAAGAAAGAAAAAGGAAAAAGAAAGAGAAATGAAATTGTCATGTGAGACCACATTTTGCATGCATATTTGATGAATGTGGTAAAAAGAACTTAACTTCGGTCTTCTTTTCAGGGGTAAGTAAGCTCTAGACTCAACCATAGGTCTAAGGCTGACTTTGTAATGAGATTTCACGAGTGAGTAAGAGCACATGACTGAACAGAGAGTTCTATTACAATGTACTATAAAATGATGAACTGTTCATTTAACAGGGTTTTGCATGAAAGTCTAGTCTTTTTTCTGCAAGACTTTTTTTTTTTTTAGGAAGAATGATTGGAAGCCATTACAGAGGATCAGAGTTAACTCCCTCCAGATGCAAGATTTCTCTATTCCCAATCGTTCTTATTACAGACATATGGGCTCGGGTAATAGGCTTGGTTTCAACAACAAAAAAATGCTAACAGTCTCACACGTTAACAAATCCATCAAGGAGACAAAAACAATGCGGAATTATCCACAGGAGTCAAGTATATTAAATTGTATGTGGTCACCATACATGCTTTTATTATAATAAAGTAATGAAGAAAATCATCTTCCTGAAATCAAGCACTTCACATTTAATTAACCAATATCAGAAGATTCACCCACAAGCTCAGGGGACAGATTTTGGGAAGTGG